ATTTTAGTTCTCCCAGCAACTGTTTGATCCAAACTAGCTCACAAGTTGCTGTCGCCATTGCTCGATATTCTGATTCTGCACTAGATCGAGCAACCACATTCTGTTTCTTGCTCTTCCACGACACCAAATTACCTCCTACTAAAACACAATATCCGGATGTCGAACGTCTGTCAGAGGGTGATCCTGCCCAATCAGCGTCTGTATATCCAATGATATGCTCATGGCCTTGATCCTCAAAGAGTAGTCCTTTACCGGGAGTTGACTTTATATATCGCAGAATACGAACAACTGCTTCCCAATGACTATCACAAGGGGAAGTCATAAACTGACTTACAACACTCACAGGAAAAGAGATGTCAGGTCTAGTCACTGTGAGATAATTCAACTTTCCAACAAGTCGTCTATACCTTTCAGGATTACTAAGTGGCTCCCCCTGTCCTGGAAGAAGTTTAACATTCGGATCCATAGGAGTGTCAACAGGTCTACATCCCATCATCCCTGTCTCCTCAAGAATGTCTAAGGCATACTTGCGCTGAGAAATAACAATACCTGATCTAGACTGAGCAACCTCAATACCTAGAAAATACTTCAATCTGCCAAGGTCTTTAGTTTGGAAGTGCTTAAAGAGATGTTGCTTCAAATCGGTGATACCATCTTGATCATTACCGGTGATAACAATATCATCAACGTAAACAACCAAATAGATACATCGACTTGGTGCAGAATGCCGATAAAACACAGAGTGATCAGCTCCACTACGAGTCATGCCAAACTCCTGAATTACTGTGCTGAACTTCCCGAACCAAGCTCGAGGAGACTGTTTTAGACCATAGAGTGACCTGCGCAATCGACATACAAGGCTACTAGACTCCCCCTGAGCAACAAAACCAGGTGGTTGCTCCATATAGACTTCTTCCTCAAGATCACCATGCAGAAAAGCATTCTTAATGTCCAACTGATGAAGAGGCCAATGACGAACGGCAGCCATAGATAGAAAAAGACGAACAGATGCAATTTTAGCCACAGGAGCGAAAGTGTCACTATAATCTAGCCCAAATATCTGAGTATACCCTTTGGCAACAAGGCGAGCCTTAAGTCGATCAACCTGACCGTCTGGACCAATTTTGACTGCATAAACCCAACGACAACCAACAGTAGATTTACCTGCAGGAAGGGAGACAAGCTCCCAAGTACCACTCTTATGTAAAGCAGACATCTCATCAACCATAGCCTGCCTCCATCCAGAATGAGAAAGTGCTTCACCTGTAGTCTTAGGAATGGAAATAGAGGACAAAGACGACACAAATGCATAATGGGGTGATGATAGACGATGATAACTTAAGAAGGTATAATGTGGGTTAGTATTTCGAGTGGATCGTATACCTTTTTGAAGTGCAAGCGGTTGGCTAGGAGGAGGCAAGTCCGCAGTAGGAGCAGGGTCTGGCGCATGACATGAATCATCTGGGACTAGGGTTGGACGTGGACGGCGATGATAAGTTAGTAGTGGTGGCACTACAACTGGAGATGTAGAAGTAACCGTAGATTCCACAAAGGTTGGCACAGGTAAAACCTGAGGTATGGGTAAGACCATAGAGACATCAGGATGATCAGAAGATGTATAGTAAGGCTGAGACTCAAAAAATGTAACATCAGCAGACATAAGGTATCGATGAAGATCATGTGAATAACAACGATACCCTTTTTGGACTCGAGAGTAACCAAGAAAGACACATTTGAGGGCACGAGGAGCTAATTTATCTTTTCCTGGGGCTAAGTTATGAACGAAGCATGTGCTCCCAAAGACACGAGGAGGGATAGGATAGAGATGTGACTGAGGAAACAGTATGGAATGGGGAACCTGATTCTGAATAGAAGAAGAGGGCATTCTATTTATCAAATAACAAGACGTAAGAACTGCATCTCCCCAAAAACGCAATGGAACATTGGATTCAAGGAGAAGAGTACGAGCGGTCTCAATAAGATGCCGATTTTTTCTTTCAGCTACACCATTTTGTTGAGGGGTGTATGGACAAGTAGTCTGGTGAATAATGCCTTGGTGAGTCATAAACTCCCGAAATTGGGAGGATAAGTATTCTAAGGCATTATCACTACGAAAAGTACGAATAGAAACACCAAACTGATTTTGTATTTCAGCAAAGAAACTTTTGAAAATAGAAAATAACTCAGAACGATCTTTCATTAAGAAAACCCAAGTACATTTTGAATAATCATCAATGAAACTAACAAAATAACGAAATCCTAAGGTGGAACTGACTCTACTAGGACCCCAAATATCAGAATGAACTAATGAAAAAATAGACTCTGAACGACCCTCAGTACTACGAGAAAACGTAGCACGAGTGTGTTTCCCAAGTTGACACGACTCACAATCTAATGTGGATAAACTAGACAAACTAGGCACCATCTTTTGCAGTTTGGATAGACTCGGATGTCCCAAACGTTTGTGAATTAAATCTGGGGAATCTGTAATGGAGCATGCTGCTAAGGAATTTGAAGAGGTAAGATAGTAAAGGCCTTGTGATTCATGTCCTGTTCCAATCATCTGTCCCGTACTGCGGTCCTGCATGAGAAAAAAATCATCGAAAAAAGTTATGCTACAATGTAGGGCTTTCGTCAAACGACTAACAGATGCTAGATTAAAAGGAGAACCAGGGACATAAAGAACAGAGTCTAGGGTGACAGAAGATAGGGGTTTGGCTTTTCCAACCCCTTTTGGTTTGGTTTGGATCCCATTGGCTAAAGTAATAGCTGGAAGAGATTGTGAATAAACAATATCGGATAAAAGTGATTTATTACCAGAGATATGATCAGAAGCCCCAGAGTCCATGACCCATGTTCCAAGAGTACTAGATTGCGACACACAAGCAAAAGAATTACCCGCAACAGAGACATCAGGTTGTGCAACCGAAACTACTTGTGGAGACGTTTGCTTATTTCCTCGATTTCGAAGGAACTCATTATATTCCTTTAGAACAATAGGATCATAACTGGGTGGTGGACCATGCAAAATATAACATATATCACGAGTGTGTCCAGGCTTATGACAATGACTACACTTGGATCGAGGTTTCCCAAAACGCCCTCCTCCTCGCCGATTCTCCATAGATTGATATGTACGCTTTTCAAAGGTTTGAGATGCAAGAATAGATGAGTCAACAGTGGGTGATGAAACTACCTTGTGACTGGGAGGTGCCGCAAGACGAAGGAGACGAGAGAATAATTCATCGATTGTAGGAACTGTAGGGCTAGCTAAAATCTGATCACGTACAGAATCATGATCAGGAGGAAGTCCAGCAAGAGTAAGAACTAGAAACAATGTTTGTCTGTGTTCTTGTTGTTTTTCCACATTCGTAGTAACTGGCATTAATGTGTCAAATTCCTCCATGACTGCCTGTACCTGTCCTAAGTAAGTAGACATATCGGATTCTTGTTTCTTTAAGTTGGTCAATCGAGATATCACATCATAGAATCGAGATATGTCATTAGTGTATAAAGCACGAGCCTTTTCCCAAACTGTATAACACGTCTGGAATGGGCGAAACAAGGGCATCAACTTGAAATCAATAGAACGCCATAGGAGACTACATAATTGAGCATCTACTTTCTCCCATTGTGCTTTGGCTTTTGCATCTTCCTCACTAGTTTTTGCCTTTACATCTACCTCATAAGCCTTGTTCGTTAAGTGATCTTGGACACCTTGACCCTTGCACCACAACTCAACCGAGGAAGCCCAAGATAAATAGTTTGAACTTCCCAATAAAAGTTCTGAAGTGATTATAGGGCTAGAACTTCCAATCCCCATATTTTTGGAACCAAAAACATCACACCCAAAAGACATTATGCTAAATTTGTCTCGGAAAATTCAAATCTCGAAGAAAAGTCGCCGGAAACTGCCTGGAAATAGCTGGAACTCTAATTCCGGCGATCGGATCTGGTCAAAAACAGTATGGGCCTGGTCGGATTGGCTGGACAACCCCAACTGTCAAAAAAATCTCAAAAAAATATGATCAGAAAAGCCCTCAGGGGCCGGCGCGTGAGACAGATCTCGCCGGAAACTGCCACCTCCGATAGGCGCGTGAGAGCGCGTGGGGTGGTGTTTTCCGGTGGTTTTGGCTGGGGTTTGGTCGCGGGGGCTTTCCGAGCCTCGTGGTGGTGTTGGTTTTCGCACAACACCCACAGAAAGAAAAAAGTATAACAAAATCAGACCCAACAGTCACCGGAAATTGACATAGACATACGGTGACTTGTTTGTTCTCACCAATGCTCTGATACCATGTGAGAAATATATACGAAAAATATTATTGAATTGTGTATCTAAATAGTTACATTGAGACCCTATTTATAGACACTACATTGGAATCTTTTTCCAACTAGGATTCCTATTCTTATTCCTATTCCTATTCCTATTCTTATTTCTATTCTAAGTAGGAAATACTTATTTCTATTCTAACACAAACAAAGTTCTTAACTTTTTGCAATCAATTTCAGGCAAACATAGAAACAAACAGCTAATGAACCCCCATCCCACCCCCTCCAGCCAGAGCTAGAGTCCCGCAATGGGATTCAAATCACCTTCCTCAAAATATTACAACATATATACACTGTCAAAATCATTTTTTATATATAATAGATGTTGAACCACCTTGAATTCTTATTATATTTAGGTCTTTATATTTTGAATCCCCTTAGTGCAAATACTGGTTCTGCCACTCCCTCAATCGCCAAGACGACTACGACCACAATAACATACTCAGTAAAGTCCCTCGAGTGAGTTCTAGGAGGGTAAAGACCCACCCAAGAATTGTTAATGTCTTTCAGAATTAGAATAACTAGTCACACTCTATGTCTACCTACAATAGCCAGATTCTTCGAAACCCTTCTTAGAGAAAAAGTGAAAAAGGAGACAAGAATTCAACTTTAGTTTACTTACAACAAAATTAATATCATAAAAAACCAAACTTTAAAAGAAAATTAAGAACCTCTGCAGTTCTTGGTACTTCATCACAGAAGATTTCGCACTTGATGTCACCTAGATTTGTATGAAGTGTCACTGACTGCAAAAACACCAAACATTTGCTAAATTTATCAATTTCAATAACAATAATAAAACACAAAAAAAATATCGCATAAAACCTGAAAAACACACCATGTTTTGCTGCTTGTATATTCAGATTACTGGAGCTGACAGAGAGCTGTTCTCTGCTTTAATAGAAAGAAAAAAAAAAAGAAAAAAAAAAGAGCAAATTTTGACCCGAAACTTTGACCCGACCCGTTTTCTCAATAAGTTTCGGGTTTCTCTTTTACCCTTTCACCCAATCCTATATAAAAATCCTAATAACCTAAAATAGAGTAAAAATAAAAAGTTGCCGCCTCTGCACAATTACCTCTTCCCGCGTTTTTTCTTCTTCTTCTCCAACTATCAATGGGGGACAAGATAACAATAGCAGTTGATTGTTCCGGTGAATGGGTTGAGTCTAATTATCGTTACATTTGGCGTTGGAAAAACAAAGAAACGGCACATACAGTAGCGATGTATGTGGATCGAGATGTCATAGATGAAGATTTTGTAAGTAAAATCATTTCCTGCTGTAAACTAAATTGTGAACCGAAAGATCTTGTTATCAGCTTGATGTATCGTTGCTTTGAAGACCAACAAGCGCTTCCTTTTAGGAGAAGTGATCAAATGAAATTTGCGTACTTATTTGGAACATGGAGATGGAGCAGTTTTAAGGGTATATATAGGTGAAAGATGGATCGAGAATCGTCAAGATCACGATGAATGTGATTGGGTGAATATGGATATTTCAGACAAAGAAAGTGCATGTGAAGTGTATTCTTCTTCTAATTCTATTTCTACTTCTGAAATTGTCACTTATATTATATTGAAAACTGCGTATAATCAGAGCGGCTCTACAGTTTTGAAAAAAATGCAATTGCATTAGGCCTAAAAATTTGAGGGGCCTCATTTTTTTAAAAAAAAAATAATAGGTTGTAAGTATTTTTTTTAAAAAATAATAGGTTATAAGTATTTTTTTTTAAAAATATCTAGTATTACTTGTAGAAAATAAAAACTTTTCATAAAAGAGCAAAGAAGTAATAGAAGTTCGACAAATTATGAATACCAAAGATTAAATAATTGACTATAATAAACTTCATAAAAAATATATATTTGAATTTAAAGCCTCCATTCGAATTTGGCTTTAGACTACCGATTTATTAAAGCAGCCCCTGTGTATAATCATGTTCAAGATGATGAAACAGATTTGACGGGAAGAGGAGGAGCTAAGAAGAGACGAAAAGAAATTGGAGAATCATTTCCAACAAGAAAAAATAAGTGTTCTGTATGCAATGAGGTTGGCCACTATAGAACAACATGCTCGAAGCAATGCTCCATACTAATAGATTTAATATCTTAAATATCGTAACTATTGTTTGTAATTTGTCAACTTTTTAAATTTCTATGCAATGTAGATTTTGAACAATCTTTCTTATTAAATATGAAATCGCATGTGTAATTGTTGTTTTATTTTAGTTCTCTCAGCAACTATTGTACTTGGAGAAATTTTTAGCAAGTTATTGAATTTGTTGCAGCAACTAAAATACTTATCGTCATTGTTAAAAATAAATTATTATCTTTAATCATTCTTTTAATATATTTTTTAAAATATTTTAAATTTTGATTTATTTATCGTAGTTTTAAATATTTATATTTTATTTTTAAATAAAAAATTGAAGTTAGTATATCTAATTACGATCAAAATTTCAATCGTTAAACTTAGAAGAAGAAGAAAAAAGTAAAGTTGAGAGTTGAGGCGTCTCAAAATCAATTTTTTGGCTTTTAAGTTTTAAAGGATGTTTAGCAAAGTGCAAATATAATCATTTTAGGACCCTAGTTTAAAAATAACCAAAATTTGGATGATATTTAAAGTTTAATCAGTTCATAAGTAATGAGTTTTTAAGTATCGATAATATATAGGAAAACAATATATACCGAAAGTTTGAATATAAAGTATTATGTAAATTTGTATTATCTTTCGAAAACTCTTGTTTTAATCTGAGATTCTTCTAAAGTAATCTGATTTTTAATACTTTTATTTAATTTTTTTCTCGAATAAAATGTCCGTTCATATTTCAAAAACTTAAATTTATCAAATTTCAAGAGATTGAGCAATTACTTGACGGTGTTCAAAACGGTCAAATACAAAATTATATGATTTGTCCTCGTTAACATAAACCTACTCCACTGGCACTAGCCTAACGCTTGCTTACTTGTCTCTATAAAATCTAGGGCTAACCCATCGGTGACCCCCTAAATTTGGCACGATTTTTCACTTAGACACCTTAACTAGGCTTTGTTCATTTTAGACACCTCATGTCACGCCCAACTGTGTCAATTTGACACTTTTTGCTGAGATGGCATAGCAAGTGTGATACACTCACTAGACGCGCGTGAGAGCCTCATTTTACCAAATTTTAACTTTTTTTTCTTCTTCTTCTTCCCCATTTTTTGGCTACCATTTTCCAAGCTTAAACTCTTTCCATGGTGAAATACATTTGACGATGTCACAAACAAAAAGTGAATTCTAGCGCCCATAAATTTTAAGCTTAAATACTTTCACTTATTTTTTGTCACTTAAATACTTGCGCGTGAAAAACCTTTTTAGTTGACTTTTAAAGTTTTTTCTCTTCTTCTTTCCCATTTTCAGCCACCATTTCTGAAACTTAAACATCCAACTATGGTGAATCAAAACAGATACCATAAACAATTGAAAAATGATAGAAATTGTTTTAGAAATTTAGAAATGTAACCATTTTAAGATTTACTTAGTAAATTAATTTATGAGAATCTTTTCCAAAAGGATTGAATATTTACATAGAACTAATTTTTATTTTTATTTTTGTGAATCTGCTAATTAGGGGAAAAAAGAAACAAAAAGATATTTTAAAAAAACACTAATAAAGGAGCAGTGTGTAGGTTGGCATGTTTCTCATATGTTTTTGCAAGTATTTGGAGAAGAAAATCGCCTTGGGAGGCGGGAGAACGGGGGTGTGTGCAGATATTTCTGGAAAATGGGTGGGGGATATTTTTGCAAATGGACTGGGGTGTTGGAGAAGAAGAAGACTGTGGGGGTGGGTGAGGGAATTTTATTGGCTAAATTTTTTTTAAAAAATTATTTGGGCAAAAATCCATATGTCATTGATTTATTGGTTACTTTTTATTTTTACTCAAAATTTATTGTTTAAGAATTGTTTTTGACACAAATGACAAATGTCATCATTTAATTTGTCACTTTACACGTCATCGCGAGTGTAACACACACACTTCATATATTTTTGTTGATTGGAAAAAAAGTGTCAAAATAATATAGCGATACCGTACATAAAGTGTCTAAAATAAACATCGTCCAGTTGAGGTGTCTAACTGAAACTTCGTGCCAAATTCAAGGGACCACCGATGGGTTAGGCCTAAAATCTATGTAATCTTAAACAGATAGAGTATCCAAATGACCTTATTTGTATCCAAAATCACGAAATTGCCACTAAATTACTCCCTTTAACTGCCATAACAGAACAGACTATCAGCTAAAAACTTTCTGAAATGAACAAGTCAATCCCCGTTTTGTCCTTACATGTAATTATAATCCTATCCATACCCTTTTTCGTCTTTTCACTCCGAACCGGACTACCACGCCTTTCCGACCCATGCAATCGGCCGCCGGCGGATCTCCGATCACTCCAAACCGATCAAACTACGGTACTAATCAACGGCTACTCCGAACACCGGATTCCACTTCTCCACTCAATCGCCGCCACTTACGCCGCCGCATCCTCCGTAGCCGCTGTCATCATCCTCTGGAGCAACCCTTCAACTCCGCCACAAATCCTCTCAGATCTCTCCCAAAACCTCTCCCTCTCCTCCTCCTCCACCACACCAATCACTATCCACCGTCAACCTTCCTCTAGCCTCAACCTCCGTTTCCACCCTCACACATCCATCACCACCCGATCCGTCCTCATCTGCGACGACGATATCGAACCGGACACAAACTCAATAAACTTCGCTTTCAACATCTGGAAATCCAACCCAGATCGCTTAATCGGATTTTTCGTCAGATCTCATAATTATGACTTAACACATAAATCCTGGATCTACACAATGGAAACCCAGAAATACTCAATCATGTTAACAAAATTCATGATCTTAAACTTCCATTACCTCCATCAATACACATGCAACAAAGAATACTCGAAACTGAAACTCATAGTAGACGAAAAGAACAACTGTGAAGACATATTGATGAACTTTGTGATAGCGGAGCAAGTGAAAAAGGGTCCGATATTGGTGGGTGCGAAGAAAGTGAGGGATTGGGGAGATGCAAGGAATGAAGGTGAAGGTGAAGGTATGAAGGAAAGGGAAGTGGGTTTGAGTAGTAGAAAAGGAGAGCATAGGAAGAGAAGAGGAGAGTGTATTGGTGAGTTTCATAGGTTATTGGAGAAGATGCCATTGAAGTATAGCTATGGAAAAGTGATGGAAGCCATTGGAGAACAAGGTTTATGTGAAAAAGGTGGTAAGTTGGTGTATTGTGATAAACAAATTTTTAGATGAAATTATGAGAATTTTCCAATTTTTATTTTATTTTATATGTTTTTTTCTTCCAATAATATATAATTCTAAAAAAAAAAAAAGTTGTGTGAAAAACTAAATTTAGAGAAGAAACCATATCATAGAAAAATATATAAGTAAAGAAGATATACTAACAAATAATAGGAGATATATTACATAATACTCCTTATTTTAAAAAGACAGTAATAATAACAAAATAATGTGATAATACACAGTACAAGAAATAATATGTAATAGAAATTGAAAGACAAATACTAGAATAGTGCAAATACTATTAGTATGAAAGAAGAAATATGTTTGGTGCATCAAATTACCACCAAGCTTATTATGTGGGAAAGTGAAACGATGCATTACTATCTACTAATGTGCTACTTTAGTCTCATCCAGCGATAAACACTTTACTTATGCGATAGTCAAATGAGCATTATATTGAGTCATTGAAAATTGAAGTGAGGGAATTGGCTATTTCCCCAATAGAAGAGAAGAGTGACCTAATCACTTAGGAAGAATCTTCTTATTCAAGGTCATGTCTTCGATAAGCTAAATATGTGTCATAACTTGTATAATCACATGTATCTTGTGTCTAAATCACATGTCCCCAATAGAAGAGAAGAGTGACCTAACCACTTTATTTGAACATCAATGTTTGGTTATAAAATTTTCAACTTGAACTTGAATTTATTAAACTTCGAAAACAACTTATAACTTGTTTCGATGTCCAGTAAAGTGTTCCCTAACAAAATCAATTTGTATCCAAAGAGACTTAAACTTGAGACTTCTAGTTAAGGATGAAAGAGTACTTACCCCTACACCAATCCTTATCGGTACTTCATATATTTTCGGGTACATTGAAATGACGAAAAGAAAATTTGAAGCCTTTCAAAAGCGACACCACTTGGATACAAATTTTCCCTTATTATAAATAAATTTATGTAGGCAAGGAAATTGCATATTGATTCAATCCATTCTTAAATCACATATGTATTTGCTTTAGTTAGAGCACAAATACCACCCGAAGATTGTGATGGAATGGATAGTATCTCTTTATTCGTAATTAGATGTTTTGGGTTCGTCCAAGACATAAAGAAAAATTATAATTAAAAGTGTTCCACCTTTAATAGGTCATGGTACACAACACGAATTCAGATTCATAAGGGACCCAATATGGGTACGGGATATTGGGAGGGAACAAAAAAAAGAGTTAGAGCACAAGCATAATAGATGCTACTCTTTTTTGGAAAATACTATCTACAAATGGTCCTATGAATAACATAAGATGAAAAATAATCACTCCTATGCAACCAAAGGGTAAAAAAGCATTGCAGCAATATTCTGCAGTGCAAACTGAACATATCCATGTTACTGAGCTCAATTGCCCTCTCTAATTTATTAGTATTTTCTTTTGGTGGATGAAGAGGGGAGGTGGCTTAGGCTTTGTTGCTTTATTAACAATATTTCCGCCAGCAACAATCACCAGGTAACACTGTCCACCAAGACTAGAACATATGAGAAAAAATCACCTACTGTTTTTGTCTCCGCTATCAACTACAGCTATATCAAGGTTTGGACTTGTTCTCTTCCTGTGCATAGAAGGATTCATAAGTTGCCACTCTGGTTTTTGATTCAGGTAGCTCCATTTCTTCACTGAATCCCATTGTCATTTTCAAGAAGTCTCCCTTGTGCAACACTTTCCATTCCTACAAAGCATTTCCATAGGCCAACAGAAAAAATTAAGGACTTGCTTTTACAGAACATTAGTTAAGAGGAAGCAACTTTGACTCTCTATAATTCTCTCTCGAGCACATAATCTAAAGAAGAAGAATAAAGACTATACATCTGGGGTATTTAAAAGTTTATCTCTATTAAACCACAAGAAATGGATTTAATTGTTAAATGTGAAGACAAGATATCAATTTAAGTTGGCCTAAACTTTGGCAATAGACTCCTATGTCTTTGGAGTTCAATGGAGAAGCTTTTCAAAGGTTTGATAGTCAGCCTTTAAATCTCTCAAGATTTTTCAGATTTTGTTATACCCAAAATCCCAAGAACTCAAATTTTCTCAACATTGTCCGTTGAACAGCAGTACTCTAGCATATTGTCCCCTAGTTTCCTTTTTGGTTGATCCGATGCACCAGAGCCTCCTTGGGAGGTATCAGGAAGGATTTCAAATGGAATAATATCAACTCATGCACTCTTGCCATTTCGAGGAAGCAAGTTCATTGAGTAGAAATGTAGAATGAAAAGAAAAGCAAGAAAGAGGAACTTTTACCAAAATGGCTCAAAGAGCATAAAAAGGTAAGAGATTGCACATACCTAACAAGTCCTAAATTATATATGATTACGTTGTAGGTTTTGTTTCTACAGTAAACAAGGACTTTATATGTTGGTAACTTATGACACAGCCACAACAAAACTCTATTGGAACCACTTGGGGAAGGAATGACAAGAGGCAAAAGATTCCTGTTTTTGAATTCATACATTGATCTTCCACAATTTTGTTCTAGATCTCACACTATCCTTTTATATGCAGATGCAGAGACACGTTCAGTTCCTGGTCTACTCACAGGCAGAGATATGTAGATTATATGCTTGTAAATTTTTTACCAAATCCCACCACCTACTTTGGGTTTAAGATCAGGCAACCAAAAAAGTAGATATAAACCTTGCAACATAATGCATTTTCTAAATGCACAGTCCAATCAAAATGAAAAGAAACGAAGACGGGACAGGAAAAAAAGTATATCCCTTCTTCATATATTAGTACAACAAGCAACGAAGAGAGAGGCAGATATGAGCTCACAAATTTACCTCAAAGTCCCATTCCCCATGTAAATCTGGATCCCTCTTGTTAACCCAAACATATGTTTCAGCCTGCAATGTCTTGGAACTATCCTGTAAAACGAAGACATACTTTATAAAAACTGAATAAAATTGCAAAACTGAAAATAAGTTGAACTATCACACTAAGTTCATGCCACAATCAAACAAACTGGAGTGATCCCAAATAAATCACTGTAGATTTTAGTAAAGGTGTGGGGGGGGGGGGAGCAAAACATAAATTGATGATGCACTAACATTAGAATCTTTAAAATACGAGGGTTTTCCATGAAAGTTATAGTCCTTCATGGTCATCATTAATTCATTACAAACCTGCCCTGAAACCCCTAATCTACAATGAACTAGAATTTTCATTTTGTCAATCTGAAACTAAACTCTAAACCTATGAGGAAACAATGGTATAAAAGCTCAAAAATTAAATAGAAAAGCATTATATAGGACACGTGGGAGTAAATGCAAGTACTCTAGCAAGAACAGAATTCACTACGTGGTATCTTTTTTAGTAATTTATCATTTGCCTCAATAAGTCCACAGAAGTAATTATCTCCCACGAATAGTTCAGTAGATCCAATAAATAGGAACATTTGAACTATCAAAAAAATCAACTCATGCTCCATATCGTGCTTGAGAGTTGAGCCATAAAAAAGAATACACATAAATGCCACATTTTTTAAGAACTTCAGTGAATCAATACCATCAGGGAAACATCAACAGTCGTCCTTTATTACTCAACGTCCTCAAATGCATCCAGGATATTCAATTCAGGAACAGTGATATCCAAAAGAACCTGCAATTTTGTTAGAACAAGCGTATTTAGAAGATCTGCAGGAGGGATAGATCCAAAATTTTCAGAAGGTCTCAATGACAAAGAACTGTATCAGTAATTTGTTCTCACTTCTTGTAGTTAATTATAAAGTATATGCAATGTGCCTGGACCTCAATCCATCCTTCCATTCACCATTGAAATCATCAAGCTAGAGTACATATAAGCTATCTTATGACTTACTAAGAGCAAGGGCTCAATGGTTAAGCATGTAATGCTTGTTGATTAGGTTATCATCACACGTATGGACAAAAATGATTAAACGAAAAGTTTAGAATTGATGTTTGCAGCCACGATGCTTGTAAATGCTCTACAATAACAAAGTAGGACGCTTCAAAAGACCTTCCTGTCAATGCTCTACAAAGAAAGATAAATACACAAAAAACGTAAAAAGGAAACTCTACAACAAAAGAAAATATTTAAAAGTTTAACAAACCTTCCCATTAACTCTTTTGTTCTCAACTGGTAGAATGGCAGGATAAACACGCCCTTTGATGCTAAACCTATGACTGCACCAAAATAACAGAATCAGCGGTCACCGCTAGCAAAATACTAGAAAAATATATCCCTCTATCACTTGGGGAAACAAGGCACACAACAACTAAACACAACTTGGCATTGCACACACGCAAAACAGGAAAAGAAATCCCATTACCGAGCATTTAGGTAACAGGTAAAAACACAACTTGAGAATGTATACAACCAAAATTAAAGCAAATCCATTACCAAACATCTCCTAAAGCTCCCATGTAGTCATTTTGGTACACATAAGATCCAGTATTTGTCAGGAATCTTTATTATTATTATTTTTTTTGATGGCAAGGAAACCCCAGCCGCTAACCTTTGGGTGCGCACAAGAATCTTTATTATTATGAGTCTTATCCTTTTGTTTAGTGTTTTATATGTCAATAGAAAACATAGAGAGCTCCAGTGTCTGAGAACTCTTGATTTGACTTAAAATTATAATTTATAGAGAAGTAAATTAAACAGCTCCAAATGGAGCTAGAATTTGATAGACTTGATATACACCATTTTAATATGGTTGTTGTAATGTTTGAAACTAAAATTTAAAAAGAAATAAAAAAAAAATTGTAATTCACTTCGTTCAACACTTTTCACTATTAGTTCTTATTTTTAACAAAGTATAAAAGATGTTAAAGTGGGTAAAATAATATATTTTGTTATCTTAATTAATCAATTTTTTTGACACATAATTTATTCTTGGGCCTAAGGCATATGCCTTATTTTACAAAGGCAAGAACCACAACTTCCCAATACCCATTAGATTTCCAATTTGTCTGCTTAAAAAATTGTGCCAATTCTCAATACCCATTAAAGAAAAAACGCATTTACCCTCATTTTCTACGTACAAATGGAACCATTGATGATTTTAATTAGAATAAAAAACTTACTAGTTGTGGAGGATAGCAGGATTAGAAGGAGGGACGCGTTTGAGAAGAGCACGAACAATGTCGTCAGCTAATAAGCTGCCATAGACGAACACATTGAAGACGGACTGAGGAGAAGACGCCATTAACAATTATCCAAAACGGAAAAAACTGCTTTTAAAATTTTATGTATAAATTATAGGAATCACATATTATAAGTACTAAATAACATCATATCCCTTTTAGTTTTCTATTTACCAAAAATCCCTTAAAAATGATGTTTGCGGGATATATAGCGCTGTGCACGAGATACATTAGGTTTGATACATTTCACATAGCGTTGTGCATGGAATACATTAGGTTTGATACATTCCACATAGCGGGATACATAGCGTTGTGCACGAGATACATGCGGGATAAATAACGTTGTGCACGGGATGCATAGCGTTTGATACATTCCACATAGTGGGATACATAGCGTTGTGCACGGGATACATGCGGGATACATAGGTAAAATAAGGGATTTTTGAAAATTTTGAAATAAGTAGGGATAAATGGATATTAAGGTAAGTAAAGGAGTGTAGTTAAGTAATTTGTCCAAATTTTTTTCCACTGCTAGTGGTTTCTTAAAAAACTCACGACCCGATTTGAATCCAAGATTTTTGATTTAGGACTCGACTCTTGATCCCGACTTAGACTTTTGACCATGAGATCCGACTCTCGACCCTTACTTGGGATCTGATTCTCTTGGTCACTCTTGATTCGGATTAGATCCTGCTTCGAAATCAAACTTTCAATTAACATTTGAATTTATATATCTAATTTTAATTATATAAATTAAAATTAAGAAATAGTTATTTTTAGATATTATTTTTTATATATATATTTGAAAGTTATTAAATTACACCATTATTTTGGAGTAAAAGATTTGTTATGATTACTTATATATTTAAATAAAAGAAAATAAATGTTTAATTGTGTGTATAAATAAATATCTTTTATATATAAAAATAAATTAAAAACAAATACGTAAAGATCTACAAGATCTCTCTTTTAAAAGCTGGCAAAATTATGTATTAACAACAATTAGTAAAGGAAATTCTTATGTGATAATTCAAAACCTAATTAAAAAAATCAGTAACATGTGTTCCCATAAAAATGAATCTATTCCTAAATTCTAATTCAAAACTTTTATGAGAAAATACTTAATTGTATTATAAACGTGAAATAAAACGTAAAATATTTTATATCATCGTATCGTAATGATAGATAATGGTTTCCTTATGTTAACTATTAATAATACATAGTACTTGTTATTCCACGTCCAATCACTTTCGGATCAAAACATTTGCCAAATGAATAAATCAATATGAATAATTGTGTTATATACACACACATTTACATAGAAATAAATTAACATACATTATTTTAGCAATAATTTAAGAAAGTGGGGTAGTGATTTTAGCATGGCCTAAATAAAATAGAACATTATTCATTAACATATTTAATTAGGACCTAATTCAAGTTTGGTTCCTTTTTTTTTGTCAGTATGGTAGCCGGTAGGATTCCATTTTGGAGAAATCAAAATAATTTTAAAAAATTCAATATGTTTTTATCACAAGAGAAGAGATATTTCTAAAAGAGATGATTATTTTATATAATGGATCACCAAAATAACAGCCGACAAAATTTATTTATTTTTTACATTAAAATTAATTGCATATTTTATACATAATAATGCATAAATTTGTATATATAATTAGTGAATGTGATTATTTTTTTGATTGCCCACCAAATATATAACCTTCCCTTCTAAAAATCTTACAATTTCAACTTGTATAAATCAAAACCCTTTGGCATATAACAACTTATAAATTTTATTTTATTTTAAATGACATATTTAAGATCATAAAATTAAAAGTATATTTTATATATTTTTAGTTCAAGATCTTTATAATATAACACATCTTCAGTTTATCGAATACATGATCTTAGATATGAGGGTGTGAAGGTCGCAAGTAAAGGTAGAAGGTTAATAGATAGTCGATTGTCTTAGTATCAATCTTTTTATGTGGTCTATGACTTTGGTGGTAGTCTAGTGCACTGTGTCTGTCATATTATTAACATATTTATGTAGTCTTTGGCTTTTAGTATCTGTTATCATTTGTTGTTTATTATATTTACATGATCGCACTTTATTGTTGATGTGACGATTTCATGCATATATGCTCCATACTGATTTTCTTTTAGTTGTCATGTTTTTCTTTACTATATGTTTTTTCCTCTTTCTATTACTATTTTGATTTGTTTCACTTAAGTAGGTAGTCTTTCGAAAATAATTTTTTGTTTTTACAAGATGGAACTAAGGTATGTGCATTATTTTAAAAAAAAATCCATGTCAAATTAAAATCATCGAAAAAGAAAAAATAATTAGGTTGATTATACTTTACTCTATCTTGTTTTTGTTCATGAACATTCAAAAAAGGTGTTTTTCTAATTAAAAGTAGCCATCGGAATTTTATTTCCCATTTTTTCCCGCCGGACTTTCGTCACGTCGGCAAAGTTGACCGCCAGTTTCCGTCGGCCACGGACCTCCTCCTTCCGATCTCCTTCTCCGGTGAAATCCACTCGTAAGTTCCCCTTTTTCTATCTACCGCCATATCTCTCTCGATTTATACATAACTAACTGTTCTCTTCCACGGATTTATACTGGTGAAATACGATTGTCGATTCCATTGCATATAGAATGAACCCCAATTTACTTGTTACTATACTGTTTACTTACTTTCCCTGTGATAAGAGGCTATGAAGTTGTTATAAAACAAATTGGAAATTCAATTGGAGATTCCACTGCATTAAGAATGAACTCCGATTTACTAGTTACTACGCGTTGTATTACTTACTTCCCCTGTGATAATGGCTATGAAGTTCTAATCATGTTTCATAAGAAATGTAATTGTTGTGGTTGTGGATAAAGGTCATAACTTTCAAGTTGTTTAGTAGATCCACATAATTTCAATTTATAGCCATTGGGAACCTAAGCATTTAATATCAATTATTTGAGATACCCCTTAAACCCAAATTCCTTCTGTTAATTGACATGATTCTGGTATGCTAGAAAATTTGATGATTGATATCTCATTAGTACTTCTTTTCCCCTGCCAAGATTTTGTTTTTAGTTGAAGTTGATCTTTATTTCATCAAAAAAAGTAATTACAAATCAAAGCTGATGCTGACCTTTAGGCTTCAGCTAACTTTGGTAATGTTCCTACCCAACTAACTTGTAGTGGTGGAGTCAAGCAGTGGCGGAGCTAAGATTTCTATCAAGGGGTTTCAAATTATGTAGAAGTAAAGACACGAACTAGCCGAAGGGGTTTAACATCTACTATATACACATAAAAAGTAATTTTAACCAAGTAATTTTAACCAAGTATAGATAGTGTAATTTTTCGTCGAAGGGGGTTTGGACGAACCCCCTAACATCATGCTTGCTCTGTCCCTGGAGCAAGGTAGGGCCGAGGGTTTCCAAACCTCCTTCAAAGGAAAATTACACTGTTTATACATGATTTTAAAAAAAAGTTATATATAGTAGATGTTAAACTCCCTTAAGCTCTTCTTGTGTTTACTTCTTCTTCTTTTGAACCTCGTTAGTGGAAATCTTGGCTCCGCCATTGCTAACTTGTACATGCAAATTAGGAGTTCACTAATCACATTTTTCCTATGCAACAAAAAGAGACAAAGGATAACAATCTATAGATGCCGGATCCTCTGCCATTTGATGTTGTTTCTGCCATTGATGTGGACATGTTAAGCAATTTCTCTGCAGATCTTATCAGGAAGGAACTGTGTATGTTGAAATCTGAGTAGGTTCCTCCCTCTCCAATCCAGGCTTCTAGCATGCCGAAAATGCAGCAAATAATAGAGCTGTGGCTTGATTTCCTTTTAGCAGTCTGTGAAATCCACTGAATTTCAGCAGTACACTCACGAATTCCTCATTCGGATCCCAACCAAGACTATAGACTAACGTTGTTTGATATAATGGTGTAGCAGGGTTATGTTGCTCGGTCTCTCCAAAAATGTCGACGGGTGCGTGTCTGATCCTCCAAAAATAGTGCGGCAACATTTTTGGAGAGTCCGAGCAACTTAGTAGCAGGGAACATATATCTTCTTAGTTCTGCTATGGGTCTTAATGTTGCCAAGTCTCAACGAAATGTAAATTTGGCAGTTTTTTTTTTTTAAAAAAATAAATATAAATTTGGTACTTCATCTTAAAGTAAGGTAAAACTTGCAATCAGTTTCTTTCCCCTGTTCTTGAATTCACTGTATGAACACACGTCTGAAGTGGTGTCCCACCTCCAAATTACATGGTTTGACGCCAGTCTATGGAGGCAATCTGTTTTTGATGTAGAAGTGCATATTTGGGACCTTTTTTTTCCGTATATGAAGTAAAAAGTTATTTGGTATAGATGAATATGAAAGACAAAGACATATATTGTTCAAAACAATCTTTTTTGTGGCTATTATTGTCTAGTTAGTACACTGACATTTCTCTTTATGCTCACTCAAGTGAAAAACCTGCCAAGTCTGTACCTCTTCTTTAGGTCAAATTGCCTCTCTCTCTCTCTCTCTCTCTGGTATAGATGAATATGAAAGACAAAGACATATATTGTTCAAAACAATCTTTTCTGTGGCTATTATTGTCTAGTTAGTACACTGACATTTCTCTTTATGCTCACTCAAGTGATAAACCTGCCAAGTCCGTACCTCTTCTTCAGGTCAAATTGCCTCTCTCTCTCTCTATATATATATATATAATTGCCTCTCTCTCTCTCTCTCTATATATATATATATATATATATATATATATATATAGTGTGTGTGTGTGTGTGTGAGTGTCACACACACACAAAATCAATTTCCCATAGAGTCAAAATAGGGAAATATATATATATATATATATATATATATAATGTGTGTGAGTGTTCCACACACACAAAATCACTTGCCCATAGAGTCAAAATAGGGAATTGTTTCATTGTTGCAAATCTTCTTTTGCCCATTCATTCAAATGGGAACCTAGGAATGTTGTAATTCCCATCAATGCACCAAGCTTTAGACCACAAACCTTGTGATCGGGTAGCCATAGCTCTTTCCGTAAAGCAGTAACA